CCTAACAGCAATGGTACACTATTATGAAAAGTAGGTCATCTGAAAAAAAATAGTCGTGGTATAATATGCATAGTGAGTGCTCAAGGAATGCAAATTTATTTTCTTTTCACAATAAACTTGCATATGTCTATTTATGCATCTATCTAGTTGATTTAAGCCTATGTACACAGAGGGAAAGCTACAGAAGGCATCACACCAACCAAGTGCTATCCAAAGGACTACATGAGGGAGGGAGGCGAAAGCTAAGCCCAATTCTCGCTGTGTGTGCAATCTCCAGACTAACAGATGCCACGATTATAAAGCGTTGTAGACTGCCCAATACATATGGCTCACTTAGGTAGGCCCAGAGAGCTATCAAATGAACCGTGATGATATCAAAGACAAATATGAATTGGAGGGTTAAAAAATGAGCAAGAATGAGGGAAGCCTGTTGCTAAAGAGGAATTTACAACTTAAGCCACGGTCCTGAAACATCCTCTATTGGATGTTTTCAGTAAATGATGTACATGCCTTCTCTTCTACTCAGAGAAGATCATCGGACTATGTGTGAGTGACAGTGATGCTAGAAGTGGGAGAACCCTGAATAAACTGCAGCCTTGGCTTAATACAGCTCTCATGATCAGCGCATTGTGGGCAATGCATTTCCATCAGGTAACTACTTCACCAAGTGCCTGGCAGACAAGAATCCTGGATTGAGGGTTATCCACCCATGCAATGTGGACAATGACTCCAATTCGAGCAAAAGGAAAAATAAAAAAGAGAAAAAGCAATTCTCTGGGGCTAGGTATTAGTTCTCAGGCAAGATTTAATGTCATAGAAAAGCATGTGTGTTCATGTGTTTCTGAAAGCCACCTAGAATCAATTAGATTAAATTAATATAGTTCTTCTCTGAACCACCACTTGGCAAGCATATGCAAAAACTGCTCTTAATTTATATTCAATTATGCATAACTAATGCACACAGCATCCCTGTTATACACTCCAGTAGGTTATCCAATTAGGCAATAGTCACCTAACATCTAACTATACCTTCAGTGTGAATGGAATGTGTCTTTCATAAAAACCGAACAGAAGTCATCTGATCTGGGATTCGCTGCCTCATTTAATAATGTCCAGTCCAAGATCACCTTTCTCTTAAACATCACTTACCCACCCACTCGTTACTCTCTGTACATTCCTCTCTGTGCATTGAGACATTCAATTTTTCTCTTTAAAAACATTTTAAACTTATATCTTTTAAATTTTGGTTGATTCTCCCAGCCCCCCTCCTGTCTCTTCTCCTGATTCTCCTATTCCCCACTGTACTCTTACGGCCTCAGGGTTCTATTTTGTTCCACTTTGTTCTATTGTTTCCTCCACTCCCTTACCTTCTAGAATTGCCCCCACACCCATTTTTAGTTTTTTGGCCTTTACCCATCTTTACTCTTGCCCAGGAACACTGATTTAGCAATGAGAAATTAAGATCTACATTTGAGGAAGAACAAACAGTATTTGTTATCTTACTTAATATGATGCTTCCCAGTTCCACCTATTTTCCTCAACTTTTCATCATTTTCTTTTAAGTTAGTTGATTTTGAATTAAAGGAATCACCTGGATTAATCCGTTTTGTACTTACTATTGAATGCTATAACCACCAAAATTTGTCAAGTGAAAATTGATAATATTCAAGGGTCCACCAAGGTCTTCTTGAAGAAATGTTGAGACTTACGGCATACATAATAATGTTTATTGAACCATGAGTACCCTTGGCTTTCTTTAACATACCTGGCCATAGTTATAGCTGTCTTTATTCTTCCTGGCTGCATTTTCTCCCAGTTCATTCTTTCTTCTTCTACTCTCCTCACCTAGACTTCACACCTCCCACAAACCCTTATCGTGTCCCAAACAAAATACAATGACTCAGAGATTCTTGGGCTCTATATTACTGACACTTGTGGATAGATAATACTTCGCTGTAGGAGACTTCGCTGTGCTACATATTTAGTGATGCCATTGGCTTCTACTCAATAGCGTCTGTAGCGGGAAGTGGCAGGCTGCGTCCCACCACCCAGCTAGCTTTACCCAAAATAATTACACAGAATTAAAAGTATTCTTTTAAACACTGCTTGGCCCATTAGCTCCATCCTCTTATTGGCTAATTCTCACAACTTGATTAACCAATTTCTAATAATCTGTGTAGCACCACGAGGTGGTGGCTTACCGAGAAGGATCTTAACCTACGCCCATCTTGGAGAGGAGAGCTATAGCAACTGATTCACTTCCCTTCTTCCCAGCATTCTATTCTGTCTACTCTGCCTATCTAATTTTCTGTCCTATCAAAGGCCAAGACAGTTTCTTTATTGACCAATGAAAATAACACATAGATAACCCTCCTTCATCAAGAGTCCAATAAATACCTACAGACATTTCCAGATGCCTTATATTGGGATCAGAAATCATCCTTAGTTGAGAATCATGACAACAGTTGAATGATCAATGCACATACTTGGTACATATACATACATGCAGGCACTCATACATGGACTTGAAAAGAAAACGAACTTCAAACAGTTCCTTCCTAAGCTCTGTCTTTTTTTCTAGGCTAAGATAAATGAATTCTAACTTGCAAACTGGTTATACTGAAAAAAAATCTATTCCTTCTTCACTTCATAATTTGGGGTTTAAATGGACAGTAATTCTGAAAAGAGAGAAAAAAATAGAGCTATCTTATGGCAGATGGCCTCCGGAAGCATTGTTTATCAAATAAAGTCTAATTTATTTATAAATTCCAGCTTATTTGCCAATCTGAAGAAGACATGAACCTATCCACCATCTATTTGGCAGTTAGAAATTACACCAGATGCCATTAGCATGAAAGGGCTTTTGCATTTTGGCATCCCAGATGTGTGTGCTGGAACTTGCAGCTGATTATAAACAGCCTGCACATTCTGGCAGGGCCCACGCTGCCTTGTTAGGTTAATGCAAGGTGTCATTGCTGAGCCCCATGCTTTGCTGGCAGTTGTAGCTTTGGAAAAGGAAAACATGAAAGCAAGGAAACAGAGACATGTAAGCTGCAGGAGCTGCCATGTGTCTCGCTAATGGGGCATCTTGGGCACATGCACATCTTTGAGGGTTTGGTTTTTGTTTTGTTTTCCTGACTTAAAAAAAACAAAAAAAACAGTTAACTAAACCCCATCTAGAATCTTAGCTGCCAGGAATCTGCCAAGTTGCTCTAACTTATTGATGTTTATTCAATCTCCCTCTCATACATAATAAAATTCATTAGAAAGTATTTAAGACATTTTGGCATCCTGTTTCCTATAGTTGATTCTCCTACATCACCGCCTCCACTGAGACAGTCCAGATATCCTGCTGTTACAGTTTCTGGGATAGGAAACAAAAGTAAGTATTAAACTTCCCATCGGGTGGTTTTGTCATGTTCTACATGAAAAAGAGTGGCACCAACATCCGTGTATTTTATCTGCACTGTGGGAAGACACAGAAGTCAGCACACAGCTCAAGGGCACCTGGCACTGTTCTCTGAACTTTTGTTAAAACAATAGATTTTCTCCAGTGTAATTCCTGATACCGACTGTTAGCTACCAGCTCCACCCTATAAAAGCTGATAAATTTTCCTTTAAAATGTTGATATAACTCATCCTAGAATGAGTCACTGCTTCATTATCTTAGTGTCACCTGAAGTGACGTCGCTTTCAGTCACAGCCAGATGAGACTGGATATTCGGGAATAGTGGAACATGTGTGAGACATAAACACACGAACAAAACCACCAAGGCCACCCCTGCCCCTGAGTCTGAAGATAAAAGCGCTGCCTTGGCTGACAGTATGGATCTCAAAAGGGAAAGACTGCTACTCAGGCCACAAATTTCAAGGTCTTCTCTAGACTGTAGTCATTATTGTTCTTATAAAAAGATAGCACACTGGAACTTTTTGAGTAGAGAGAAACAGACACTTAAGCCCAAGTGAGCTAAACGAGGGCTTGCACAGCCACAGCACTGAATGACAATGGCCAGCAAAGGGCTGTATACACATGGTGGTCCCAGGGATTGTATCTCCCAGTGTCACTGGTGCCACACCATTGTGTATGCGCACCCTGTGGTCGCCTCACAATTAAATGCATTTCTCACGGCGTGTCCTCATTCTGTGACCAAGTGAACATTTAAGTCTCCTATCGTATGGAGACATAGAATTACCTACAGAGATTTTATTTGGAGAAGTTGTTGGAAAGTTATGATTTCCATACAGCCCTCCTAACATGATTTCTAAGATGCGGGCACAGCTGGAGAGAATTGTAAAATGGTGAATAAGCAGATGTGGGCAGCACAAGAAGGCCAGAGAGCAGGAAAGAGACCGCACTTCCGAACTACAGTGGGCTGAAGACAGCTGAAAGTTCTCCTCGTGAGGAAGATAAGAGCCTGAAGAGTGACCTATCAGGTTCCACGCAGCCGACAAGCACTGGAAAAGCCCGTTACATGCATAGAACTTTAGGTCAGCACTATGGCATGCAGAGCATCTCTTCTCTGGGTTCAGAAACCACTTGGGACCACTATAGTCTCTAGGCCAGGGATAAAATTGTTAGAAAAAGAGCAAATCAGAAATATGAGCAGGAGATGGAGCACAAACCCTAATTGACTGATATGTAAAACCCACTTGATCTAGTGTTTTGCTTATGAGACCCAATACGTACTTTCTTTGCTAAATTAGCTTGAGCTGAGATTTCTGTACTAATATATATGTAAGATATGTGTAACTAAAAGCATTTCACTTTTTATCATATTTTTCAAAATTATCTGAGGGGATGTCTACAATCTAGATGTGCACTCGACTACAAGAGTATAAAATCAGAAAAATGCACAATAATCAGAATAACAACATCACAGGGCTCTTTATGGATTAAGCGGATCTCTGGATATTATGTGGACTCTAAAGTGCACATGCAGGGAAAGAGGGAACTCGACTGTCTGGAAAAAAAGGAACAAGTAGAAGCAATTACAAGTTACCTGGTAATGAACTCTCTGTGACCCAGAAGAAACTGACTGCAAGTCCTAATGAAAAAAAAATGAGAAGGAAAAATCCATATCTTATAGTTAGCTTGAACAGCTATTCCACACTCCCACCAACTCTACTCCCAATTTAATGTCACCATGCTTATCTGAAAAGTTTCTTAATTTATCAAGGTTGGCCCACGAAGTTCATGCCAGAAACAATCAAAGCATACTAACTTGGGTAATGAGAAGACGGATTGTTTTGTGTTATAACTTAGGGTATTCATTGGTTAGTGATAGCCAACTGATAGTTTTGTCAGCATAAATGGGACACTGGCTCCATTTGCATCTAAACTCTCTGGCTTACAGAGAAATTTCATGGGCAACCTTAAAGGCCTAGAATTTATCTTGTACCGAATATACTTTACCACATACTTACAAGATGCTTGGCAAGCAGGAGTTTCCATAAACCTCAGCCAGGAAAAAAGCAAGCACTGGCCACGTCCACGTCATCACGAAGTGCAAGTTGACAGATGTGAAAGGAAATGGGCTTTGGCCAGCAGATTCTGAAGCCAGACTCCCTTCTACAAAGTTTTATAGCTAAGTCGTTGCCACTGCCACAAGCCTTGGGCCTCCTTGCTAATGAGCATGGATGCTCTGTGCAGATGCGGCAGTCCTGGGCACCTCTGTCCTCACACCTGCCTCCCCAAGGGTTTGCCACCCGACTTTGTGCCCAAGCCACCTTTAAAACTTCTCTTTACTTATAGAGATCAGTTTTCGTTGTCTTCCTCCTAAACCTGCTTTTAGTTGAATATTAATGTGATAAGCATGCCAATATCTTGATTAAGCTGTTTTTTTTTTCACAAAAGCCAACAAATTAGCCATGTATTTTGCCACTGTGGAGTAATGCTACATTACTTTAGTATTAATTTTATTTTTAGTGAAAAGATGTAATATCGGTTATGAGTCACTTTTGAAGATTTTATTTTATTTGTGTTTATGTGTATGTGTTTGTATGTGCATGCATGTGTGTGCTTGAGAGAGGATATCAGATCTCTTGGATCTGACGCTATAAGTGGTTAAGAGCCATACAACATGGATGCTGGGATCTGAACATGGTCATTTGGAAGAATAGCAAATGTTTTGTAACTCCCCAGTCTATAAATTCTCCCTCTGTTTTTTTTTTTCAACTAAGGTTTAATGTATAAAATTCCACAGTAAAATTGGAAAATGGAGCATTATTTTAAAAACTGAAATACTACAGGTTCTTTAAATTTAGATTAGGACCCAAACTGTGTGCTAAAAAGTTCACAGATGTTTTATTCTTTAAGTAGTCACCCACACTAAAAATCACTAAGCGAAGCCACAACTACAAAATGTATTGATTTTCTCATTCACACTGGTATTTATTTTTTTCGTTTATTTATTTATTAAAGATTTCTGTCTCTTCCCCGCCACCGCCTCCCTTTTCCCTCCCCCTCCTCCAATCAAGTCCCCCTCCCTCATCAGCCCAAAGAGCAATCAGGGTTCCCTGCCCTGTGGGAAGTCCAAGGACCACCCACCTCCATCCAGGTCTAGTAAGGTGAGCATCCAAAATGCCTAGGCTCCCACAAAGCCAGTACGTGCAGTAGGCTCAAAACCCATTGCCATTGTTCTTGAGGTCTCAGTAGTCCTCATTGTCTGCTATGTTCAGCGAGCCCAGTTTTAACCCAGGCTTTTTCAGACCCAGGCCAGCTGGCCTTGGTGAGTTCCCGATAGAACATCCCCATTGTCTCAGTGTGTGGGTGCATTCCTCGTGGTCCTGAGTTCCATGCTCGTCACACTGGTATTTAAATTTTGGCATTTATCCCTATCCTTTTGGTTCATAATTATATCTATACGTTTAAGAATTGTAAGGATAAAATTAATTTTTAGAGCCATCAGTGTGTGCTTCCTACCCAAATCCATTTCTAGTGAGATATACTAAAATGTACAAAGATAAGTGGCCACAAGTAACATAATTTAAAAACTACACAGCAGCTTTATTTATAATTCATTTATGTTCATTTGGTCATTATGTGCTGAACGGAACAGGGTTATTGCTCTAGGAGAACCCTTCAAATCACCTATCGGTTTCATTTCAATCAGGGCCATTTGAAGAAAGAAACTGTACTGTGAACAGGAGTCTTTCATCTGGAAGCCATGATGGAGAGAAATGTTTAAGCTTCCACCACTCCTGGGATGGAGAGAGCTGCCTGCCCCCACCTGCTATACCCACATATACACAATTTTTCCAAAACCATCATCTATAATTGCAATGATGAGTTTGGGTCTCTTGACATTTTCCTGGCTCAGGACAAACTCATGAGAAGGTCATATATGAAACTGTCCCTTTCCTGTTTTTCAGTGACAAGACCACATTAAAGGAAAATTTACAGGTCAGAAAATTATCCATTTGGTTCTGATATATGTCCATGAATAAGAAGCTACTCTTTCCCATGAAGAAGTTTCATTAAAAAAACAAAATCTAGCTGTCTCTGACAGAAGTCTATGCTGGACACAAAACTTTAAGTAGCCTCAAAACTCTAGGTTCTTTCATTATTTATTAGTTCTTTTGAAATTCTGAATAGCTAAAAACACACAGCTATGTAACCTCGCAAGTAGGTGGAATTTCCAAGCTATAGGGGCACACCAGGGCATCAGCACCTGTAGCTAACCCAGTAGGTCCTCTTCTATAGCAACCGGCAGAGGAAACCAAGAGTAGAGTTGGGAGGGTGGATGCTTAAAGGACAGGCCACAAATGCCATTTCCTCTTCTTATGCATCAGTTTAGATATACATACACACACACACACACACACACACACACACACACACACACAAAAATATATATATATATATATATATGGTATATAGCTGGTAATTTCTTATTTAAGGGAACAGCTAAAGAGAATAAATAATAAGATAAATCAACTCACCTCCTGTAGGCGGTCTATGTACATACGGCAGGTCTCCAAATCACAGTCTCCACGAACAACGAGAATACCCAGAGGGATGGCTGAGGGAGAAGGAAAAAAGAAAATCAAAAATAACATATCTGGTCTTTAGATGGACTTAAACGTGTTTCTCATGGGTAAAAAGAAATCTTACAAACATTATGGGAATCTGGATACAACCATGAACAGAAGCAAGTGTATGCTCTCTAAACCTCCTCAGGGGCCTCAGGGAGCTTCTTTTTCCCAGCAGGTGTCATAGATTTACCTTGTTTAACTCATGTTGTCCCTGCCACCAGGCTTTTTCCTCTGTGGCCCTGATATGAGGTATAATATCTAATATTGCTATGATAATAGGAGTGCATAAATGGGCAGCTGTTCACTGCCAGCCGATTACGAACACCCACATTTGCAGTGGGCAGCATGAAGGCATAGCCTGGGGAAGCAATCATTCAGTACTCTGGACACTCTCCCTTACCCCTCCTGAACACACTAGCCTTGTCTTTTGGCACATTGAAATAGCTTGCTATTTCTATAACTGAAGCTATTCAACTACCACTGCTGTCTGGTGGGTGACAGCAAAATTAAAAATTTAAAACTGAAGGAAGAGGGAGAGGAGGAGGGAATAAGCCAGGAGGATATAGGAAGACAGGATTCTTGAAGATAAGTAGTTATAAACCAAAGTCTTTAAACTAAATTTAATCCATGAAAGACTTGAAAAGAACGAGAACCACAGACATCATCAACAAATGAAATTACGAAGATGAGTTTTTATATAACAGGATAATATACATTTAAACATAAAAATGTCCTGAGTAACTCTCAAAGTAGTAAAGGAATAAATAAATAAATAAATAAATAAATAAATAAATACAAACTACGACATAATTTATACTAAGGATAATCTCTGAATCACATGAAGACTCTTTGATCTTTTATCTGGAAAAACAGGGATGATACCAAGAAAAAAAGTAGCCCATTTCTCAACGTTATTCCATGGACTGATTTCCATTAGGGAGAACAGATCAATACCTCTTCTTCTTTCCTGCAGGGTCATCAAGCCCTGCATATATCAATCTTTGGAGCATCCATCACCTTGCTGGACTATGTGAGCCTGTGGGTGAGTATGAATTCTCTCACATCAAGAATGAAGCTTTTACATCTTTTCTCTCCATGCATGGTCAAGAAATAGTGAGTGCTCAAGACACATGTGTAAAAAGAAAGATGATGAGTTAGCATTCACTCAAATGTGAACGAGAAAATGTGCCTCTACAACACACATAATTTTTATGGGGTAGACAAAAGTAGAAGCAGAGAAATAGAGAACACATGTAGAGTTTCAACTCACTGTTGGTTATTCTTCTCGAAGCTAAGCAGAAGGTAAAACTACCTCTGCATGCCATCTGTTTGGGAGAATAACTTCAGATGACTACAGCTTCCTTTTTTTGACAATAAAGAGAAGCATTAAGGACCTGTAAGGTGGCACCTGATGTGGGAGTGTCATATATCAATCTGTTGATTTCATTGGTTAAGCAATAAAGAAACTGCTTGGCCCTGATAGGTTAAAAGATAGGTGGGAGGAGTAAACAGAACAGAATGCTGGGAGGAAGAGGAAGTGAGCTCAGACTCGACAGCTCTGCTCTCTGGAGCAGAGACGCCATGCTCCACTCTCCCGGGCAGACATAAGCGATGAAGCTCCGACCCAGGATGGATGTAGGCTAGAATCTTCCCGGTAAGCGCACCTTGGGGTGCTTACACACATTATTAGAAATGGGCTAGTCCAGGTGCGAGAGTTAGCCAAGAAGAGGTTAGATATAATGGGCAAAGCAGTGTTTAAAAGAATATAGTTTGTGTGTTGTTATTTCGGGGCATAAGCTAGCCAGGTGGTCGGGGTGCTGGGGACGCAGCCCCGCCACTCCAATTACAACAGGCACCCAGGCATTGTGGAAGGGAGTGGAAAGGAAGAGGAGTAAGTACCTCTTCAAGGCACTCGCTAAGGGGTTCCACCAGGCAGAGTGTGTAGTAACACCAGCACTGCACAGGCTGAGTCATAAATTACAGCCCAGCCTGGGCTACATAATGAGACCCAGTGTGAGCCACAGAGTGAGACACTACTTTAAAACAAGCAAGTAATCAAATGGCAAAAGAAGGAAAGTGCCGTCAGCTATACTATCAGATACATTTAATTATGGTGACCCACCAAACTAAGAGCTAAATGATATTTTAATAGTTGAAGAAGGTCAAGGAAAGCTAAAAGTTTTGGCCTAGGTATAGAAGTAAGTCAAAAGTTGTGGAAAGTGAATATAGCTATAATTCAGCCAGTTTACATGAAATCTTACTAATATACAGAATACTTCCTCTTCATTTCAAATGTGGAGAAGTAAAATTCAATCAATAATTATCTATCTTCTTAAATTTGGAGATAGAAATTAAGAATACTCCTTCCAATACCTCTCATCTCCTCCAATTATCCATACCTGGAGTTATTCTTGTCTGAATATAAACAAACCAATGTACCCTAACTACAGGCGTTTTAAACTAGACTAAGACATGGCTGAGAATCCAGCAGGAACAACCAGACAAGCTGTTTTTCCAAGACATGCAGCTCATTTCCACTGCAGGTCTAACCGGTGGCTTTTGCCTACTCCTGCAGTAGGTGACTGAAAGTAACTGCATTTGACTAAGGAATACTTAGCTGTTGGAGAAGAAGAAAGATAACCCCTCTCGCCACTTCACTGCATGGTTGCACTCAACAGTCACATGCACTCTCGGATGGTGGCAGTCAGCACGCAGGAGGAAGTATCCACAGCCATTCACCCACGGCCTCTACTCCCCACACTGTTTTGGACTTGAGAACTACTCTGCTTAGCTCTTTGCTCTTGCTATCACATTACTGGATCCCCTATAGCCTTGATTTGAAAACTGCTATGTTTAGAAAAGGTGTTTGCAGAATTTTGTAAAGATGAAATGTCATGCCCTATTTAAAACTGAATCACCGTTGGTTCCCCTTCACTACCTTCTGAGCACCTTCCCTGAGAAAATGGTGTTATTACACTACAAGGGTCAGCTAGTGTCAGGAGCATCATGGTTATAGCTCTGTTTAGTTTCAAAGTCCTTTCCACTCTTTCTAAAAATGGGGAAACAAAATAACTGTACCGCAAAAATGTCACAGTAACCTTGATTCAGGACTTATCTGGTAAGAAAAAAAAAAACAGAAAATTGTGGGAAATTGACACCTTCCTTTTGTATTATTGATAACCTGCTGCCAAACTTCATGCCAAAGTTTGTTCCATTTTAGTTAAGAATAGTAGAAAGAATGTTTCTACCCTAAGCCTTAGTGTCCCTGCAACTGCCTTGATTAATCTTCTGGTCCTTTTAGAGACTCTGTCTACTAATGGGATATATATTGGTTAAAATTTGCAGCTTCAGACTAAGAAAAAAAAACCCTGTTTTCTTAAGTAAAATGACAGATTTAGCACACTTACTTCTTTTTCTCAAAAATGTTACTGAATTATAGTAGAATTTTATTTTTTTTTAAATGAAAAAGGATACAGTATTAGCAAGGAGAATATAGAAATGAGAAATGGACCAAAAGTTGGTGACTGAGTCAGAGTGCATCAGAGTCTATCCCTGAAAGTGTACAGCAGATGCAGAACATTGAAAATGTGCAGGAATAAGCAAGGGTGGGATCCCAGGCATATCCTGCATCCTCACCCACAGGAGACGGAACGCACCTGTAAATTTAAACAGGACATCTTGCTGAACACAAGCAGGAATTGAAGATTTCTCATAAGTAGCTGGATCTAATGATCTTTAGATTCTAAATAAAGTGTTAATAAGTTACCATGACTTAATTATGGGAAACCTTCCTGATGAAAGAATTTTTAATTTTTTGCATATTTTCATACATTTAGCTGTATCCTCTGAGTTTAATTCTTATTTTCATCTTGTTGTATTTCATCTTCTATTACTTTTCATTATATAAGTAAAATCTTCTAACAATTTTAAAAAAATTAAAGAAAATGAAAAGCACAGTAGAAAACAGAGAAAGAATGTTAATTTTTGCCAGAAGCCCATATCAGAGAGGTAAACAGCATATACAACAAGCAAACTTCTCCCACCTCCTGGGCATTTGACACTTTCCATGATTGCCTTTGGCTTTATCTGAAGCTATTTGAAATGAAAGAAACACACATGAATGCGTTGGGCCTCCAAATTTCAGCATCTTATAAAAAGATTCAGTATCAAGAGACCCTAAAGCATTACATCATAACGAAACCCCAGTGCAAGCACGAACACATCTAAAACACTCTCAGCTCCAAGAAGTTTAGAATTCTCTCTGAAAAGAGGAAGGGAAGGAGAGGGAGGAGAGGGAAGAGCAGAAGGAAAGAAAGAGAAGGAAAGAGGAAATAAACAAAGCAACACATTTTATACCACAGAATCCTCCATGGGTTTGCTTTAAGCACCACCAGGAACATGAGAAACTGGGGAGAATAGGGCAGCTAACGGCAGAGTGCTTTGTGTTGGGTAACTAGATCCCTGTACCCCTCTTTCTAGGCACAGAAGATGGGGAATAACTGGCAATTTGCAGAGTACAATGACCTGGAACTTCATTCCCTCACGGGGCTTGCCAAAATCTGGCATCAAGGAATCTACAGTCTTGGCATGAGGAAGGACTCCTTTGAAATCTGACAAACCCATGGGGTAATATGTTAACATGGCAGCAGGCCCACCCCCAACATCTGTTAAGGTCCAAGGCAAGAAAACTACACTTGAATTTCATGTTCCTCCATGAGCACAGCATTAACACAAAGTTCCAAAACTGTGAGAGTAGGTGTCACTTTCCTACCTTGTAAATAGACCTTTGCTGATACCTGAAGGGGGTGTCAGAATCAGAACTCTAGGAATCTATGGCATACTGAAACAAAGCACAGTGCCTGTGACCCAAAGCTAGAGACTCCTTTTTCCACCCAGAACACTAAGACCCTGAACATGTGGACAAACCAGACCACACCTCAGAACTCTCCAAAGTCCATGCAAACAGTTCCCTACAACAGGGCTTTGT